GATTCAAAACTTTCTGTCTCATAAACATGTTTTCTGCATGCAGCATCTTGATAGACCACAAATATACCCCAGAGATGGAAGTGAAGCACCAATGGGACTTCCTGGGTTTCAGGACTGCTCCGAAGAGATATGTTGGTTTTTTTTTTTTTTTTTAATCAGGGTGGTGGGGAAGGAAGAAAAAAAAATCTTGGGTTTCAGCCAAAATAACTAGCTAACTTCCAAGACATGTCTGTCAGTAAGCTCGCTCTGGAATTTCCTCTAAATGTACTGCAGGGTTCAGTTTTTCCATGAAGCCCAATGCTCAGTATTATGTAAGGGGCACTGACAAATGTTTCCAGTTGGACCCTGGGATTGCAAATGCACTTGTGGAGGACTGCCTTGGGATAACAGCCCGGATTCCCAGATCTCTGCAGTCATCCAAAGTCACAGAGAAAGCTAGCAGCTCTTTTACTTCTCAAGGGATCAAAAAGATCAGAACTTCAGATTCCAGTTTGGATTATAATAGAGATAAATAAGGCTCAATTGGATTTAAGTGTTGCTAGTATGCAAATGGCTATGTAGTGACCATTCATTTCTCCCAACTCTTGTCCAGGACCTGGGGCCTAGAAGCTGGCAAAACAAATGCTCTGAAATGTCCCCGAATATTGCATATCTGTGCACAGCGGGGATTTCAATGTCAGCACATTTTTCAGCTTTCACTGAGGGCTTGGAATGGCAGAGGGTGTTTCAAGGTCAAGGCAGGGAGACATTGGCAGAGTTATGCGTGGGAAAGCTTGACATTGCGATATGTCTGGCTGTAACCATTGCAGTCAGACTGACCTCCCCAGGAACCAAATCCATCTTGTAATTAAAAAGGGTAACGTCAAAGTAAACTGGTATCTAAGTTTTCAGCTAAGAAAGGGTCCACCATATAATCATGCATGTGTATATATACAGACACACATGCTACCTCTTCTGGAAAAACCACCCATACATGGGATGTGAAAATAGAAGTGATATATGTAGATGAGAAATATCAAGATGTCTGTCCATAGCTTCTTTGCCCTCTCACACTTTCCTTGAAGTGCTATAATACTAGCTGAAGGACTTGAAAGATCTGAGTTGGTGACAAAGACATGGATAGAAACACTGGTGACTGCATTACTTTCTTACAGTTGATGCCTTCAGCTTAGTGCAAGGGCAGTTGCAGTGATGCATCATGGCACCCAGGTGTATCTTAAACGTGTCTCTGCCCTTTGCAAAGTATATTTGTCATTTGCCTCATCCATGGCCCACTTATGTCTGGGTGTTTTGTTGGGAGTCCTTTGAGGTACGTGGTTCCTTTGTGCCTCCATGAGAAGCTCTGGTGGGATTCTCTCATGGGAGGTGCATTGGGTGCAACACGCTGTCATTAGAAAAGAAATAAAAAAGTGCTTGAAAAAGTGCAAGAGAGCTCAGGAAAGAGGATGCTGCCCCAAGCCTGCTTCCTTCTCCTATTGCTACCCAAGTCTGACCCTTGAGAACTGCAAAAACTCTTTGAGAATGTTGTCACCACGCATCATGCAAAATGGGCTTTAATCTGAAGATCCATCTGAGGTCCTGAGACACCCTTCAATATTTCCCTTGTCATCCCAGAGCGAGTTGCACAGCAAGACAATGATGTAGATAGACATCTGTTTTGCCATGGTGCTACAATGGAAACCTTCCCATGATACAGCACAGATAGAGTCTCCACCACTCCCTTCCAGATTGTTCAAGGGAAGGAAAGGGTGAAAGAGCTGCAGTGCTGATAGGTAAAAGGTAAAAGTTCACAAGTCCATGCGCACACATGTCGAATACTTCATGAACTTAGAAGGATATGGTTTCAGATCGCACCGCTGGAATGCGGCCCCGGCTGCAAGAGCTGGGAGTGGGAGGGATGCGGGGGTGTTGGGAGCAAGGGGACAGAGCTGGGGATTCACAAGAGGGTAGGACACCCACAGGGGATGCAAAAAAATGGATAGAAAGAGGACTGCTGGAAGGTCAGCTCAGGGAAGCATGGCTGGCTTCAGCTCTAGCTCTAACTGTTCTGGAAGGTTTGCTACCTACCTGTGAGTCCTGCTCAAATGCCTGGTTCTTGCAGGCTGCTTAGCCAGCTGATTCTAGTTAAAAATGCAATAGCCATTTCTTCCCTCTGAATAAGTAATAGTAATTCACATGGTCATAAACAATTTTCTTTTTCTCCCAAGAAAGCACTCCTTGATATTCAACCACTGGTTGTCAAACAGAGGCTTGTTTCCTTTCCTGTTAATAAGTACAGCCTTTTTTCCTTTCTTTCTTTCTTTCTTTCTTTCTTTTTTTTCCTTAAATCCAGACTTCTTGAAGCATTACATCACCATGCACAAACTTATGTCAAAGCCTGAATGGAGATAATTCACATCCTGTCAGGTTTGACCTAAGAGAGCGGGCTACCTTCCAGCAGGGTAAAATATGAAAAGGAAAGTAAAATGGGTCCATTGTAGTTGTAAACAAGGGCTAACAAATACTGGACACAAGGTCTGGGGAGGTAATGATGGAAAAAGGTTACGTGTTTAACTTTTACTCACTTTCTTCTCCTCTTCCACTCTACTCTTTATTCCTTCAAAGCTTAATGTCAGGACCATTTGCCATCTAAACTCCTATAATGAGTTATAACTTGGTTTGTTACTCACTGATCAATGGATATATTAAGATAGTTTTGCCGCTTCGTTGCAAAATGGGAAGGTAAAACTGACCTAAAATGACCCAAGCCAAAGACTGTGATCTAGACATGGCAAATAGAAAAGCAACATTTAGTGTCTCCTGTATGTTCTGCATCCATCATTTTTAGTTTTTAACGTCAGCCTTCAGTACTGTAACCTAACTCTAATTCTTGTTGTCCCATCGGCCCACGAACATAAAGAGGATACCTCTTCATCTTCTCCACAGCTGTTTCTGAAACACAGCTGCTATGGGAAACAGCCTGATTATACTCCCATTTCAATTAGCAGACACCTAGTACTGATTTCCTTAGATTCAGAGTGAAATTTGCTTTTACTTCACAGTTACCAAGAAAAAACACTCAGAAATAGTAATTTCAGATCGTGCTGGCCATGTTTCCCCCCTCAGGGCTCAGTTTGGCTCTGCTCTGAGATTAAAATAGGAAACAACCTCAAATTCCCATTTTATGAAAGTGACTATAACTCTGCATTAGGACAGTTTTAAGTATACGTTGTGATTATGTGAAATAAAACTCCCTTTTGGAGATATGGCCTTGTTTTTCAGGTAGTAGGATTTCAGTTCTGAGCTTCCCTGAGTTTTCTCGTGTATCAGTGCAAAATCAGTGAAAACTTCAGTAGCTGGTCAGATTTATTCTGGGTTTGCTGTAAATGAGGGAGAAGGAATATTGCATGTGTACCTCAGTTGTAGCTGGGAAACTCAAAATAAATTTAATAAGTCCTTTAGTACTTGAAGTTGTAACCCTGAATTACAACACTGTGATGATGTTTCATTTGTATGCCAAAAAAGGAACCGTTTTCAAGTGAAAAATGGTGCAACCAACAATGCATGTCGGTTCTATTTCTTGTTTGCACTGCAAACTCGTCACATGCATTTGGTTTCTGATTTTTAATGAAGCCATCAGAAACCCACACTGTGTTTAATCCAAGGAATTCCAATGAAGCCTGTAGAAAAAAAAAAACTTCCCTACATATAGTATCTGAAATGACAACTCTCTTAATATAATCAAATACAGGCTGACTAATGAAGGGGAAAAAAATGGGTTTCTATTCATGACAGCTGATTTTTTACTTCTTTTTTTTCTAGGAATTAGGATTATTTACCTGTCTGTATCAAATGATCTATTTATGAATCTGAAGACTTTAATACAAGGGAAAGACAAAGTGCAACTGAGAATGGTTATCCTCCAATTTTATCATGAAAACAGCTAAAGATCCATGCGTTTAAGAGTGAAAGCAAGGCAGTGTCATTATTGCTTCTGGAGAAATGCACAGAATTGAGTAAAGGCAACAGAAATGTGTTTTAGTGCATGCAGTACATAAGGGAGTTCGTCATGGAGCTTTTCACAACCTCATTTCAGGCACTTTATTGCTCCTCCAATTTCATTTTCTGTGTAATTTGACAAAACTACAGGTTTCTTAAAAGAAAAAAATCTTTTCTTTGAAACTGTAAATGCCTATTTTCAACCTCCAGCTTCTCAATGCACCTTTGAAACAAACTGAAGCCATATTTCCAGATCTAAGTTGTTATGCTAGAAATAAATAAATGAATCCAGTGGAGCAGTATGTAACTGTTCTGGTACTCCACATCTTATGATTTCACTGTTTGCCACCACATTTCACTCTCTGCTATGCATTTTTGTGCTATACATTAATGTGTCTTAAGAATGAAATAATCCTTTTTGTAATGACCAAGTTTTCACAACCATAGTGCTTAAATGCATCCTGATAAAGAATTGTGCAGAAAATGCCCACCTCCACTATTCTGTCTATTCAGTCCTTCTGTTCTTCACTTCCTTCCCCTTTGCAACTAGATACTTAACTGTGAGCCATCAAAACTTTCAAAGAAATTGTATTTGCAAACAAAAAAAAAGGTAGCTCTGGTCATTAAAGACAACATGGAGATATTAATGAGTGGGAAAGAATCTTTCCAAGCAATGCTCATGTTTAGGGAAAGAGAATCCATCTCCTTGCACTGATGATGGGAAATATTTGCTTCAAACCTACTAGCAGAGATAAGTACCACTCTTCTGCTTTAACGAAGGAGCCATGAGCCACTGTAGCAAAACTACAGCACCCATTGGAAGGTGCTTTTCATGCTGTGGTGCAGGGGAGGAAGATGAACAAAGATGAACGCAGTAAGAAATTTGGCAATATCATTTGTAACCACAATTATCGTTGCTGACACTGTCATCATTGTTAGAACTGTGTCTGTGTTTTAAACAAAATGACTCATTATTCACTCAAGAAGGAAGGGGAAAAAAAAAACAACAACGCATTACAGAGTTGGATAAGGTGGTCTTAATTAGGCTGTGGGTAAAACACAGTCCTTGCTGGTGCTCCCTGCCTGGGAACATGTTCAGGTCTGCTTCCGTTTCCTAGGCTTCATGGCTGACCTCTGGATGCTGACGGGGTGGTCTCCCACCTGGCACAGTGCTCCAAGACCTCCTCCTGACACTTTCTTCCTTATTTCAGCACCTCTCAGTTGGGTCTCGATGGATGGGATGCAGTGGAAAACGAGGCCTTGGAATTCATGGAGGAATTTTCCCCTTGTCCCCAGATGCTTCTTCCAAGTAAATGATCTGTGGCCACTGGAAGTACTTTCCATGCCACTAAATTACGCTGGGTGAGGGTAATTAAAAAAATTGAAGCGTGAAGTGTAAATCTGGAACGGAGAAAATACAAAAAGGAAAACTCTATAGCACCTGCTTTGGAAATTATTATTTAAGTCAAGGGCTATGTGCCATGAAAAGTCTGCTGCTGTTATTGGCTAATCCACCAGTACCCTACCAGTGGGATTTAGCACAATCCATCAGCATGTAAAAAATAGGGTGATCCCAACCGGCATTTAGATCCCCTGTGGGAAGTGGAAGTCTGCTGTAATTACAGGAGACAGTGAAAAGAAAGATTTCATTTCTTTTAGCAAAAGATCAACATAAGATCATTGGCCTGGGGGAGTTATTTATTTGTTTTTAGACATACAGTAAAAAAAAAAAAAAGAGAGAGAATTAGTGGTAGGAGCACTTATTCATATCCTTCTTCCTTCCCAAATAACTGTAAAAGCTTCAAACCTGTATTTTACGCCCTCAGAAATGAATCTGCAGCAGGTTCACAGGTCAGTCTGTAAGACTGGAGGTGATTTTTTGAACTTTGAACAAGTTACAAATACTTCCTAGAAAAGCAAAAGCAATAAATATCTCAGCAGAAGAAATTTCTTTGACTTCTTTCCCTGGATGAAATCCAGAGAAGAAAGTGGGGCCAGAACCATTACATGATGAAGAGGAATTTAAAAAGCCAGTTTTGAGGACCTCAACAGAAATCTAATTTCAGTCTTCGTGTGAGTTTTTGATGAACATTTACAGGAGTTTTTGATGAACATTTATGGTGTTTCTAACCATTTTACTCATCTCTACTGAATTTCAGTAGCGTCTGTTATGTTCGTCAGCAAGGAGTCACTGTAAATGTGAAAACCAGAAAAGCCTCCATAGAAGGTTCAAAACCATTTCTCCTTATTTATCATTTTAGGTGAAACTGAAAGCTTGTTTTCCATCTGTCTGCAAATGTAACATACAAGATCTTCTAAATCCTCTCTCCTTAGCACTTCAAGTTTCTGTTCAATTGGAAATTTATCTTGAAACTCATTAGGGTGGGCTTGGGTTGGAGGCAATAACCAGCTAGCTTGTCTCCCATGACAGATAGCCCTTTTAGAGAAAGATTTATATCCTATATTTATGAATAATGAAAGTGAGAATAATGATGAAGGGGGAATGACATATTTTCCTTGACATACTTTGTCACACAGAGCTGTTAGAGCTCAGAGCAGACAAATTTGTTTAGGCCTGTGAAGTGAGTGATGTGCCCTTTTCTCTGAGGTAAAGAGGTATTTGTAGTGGCATGAAGTGAGCTGGGAACATTTCTTGTAAGGTCGCCCAAAGGAAATAACACAGTGCACAACTGGCTTTTTGTGTAGAAGACCTTGTTAAAGGAAAAAAAAAAATAAGAAAGAAAAAAAGGAAAGGAAAGGAAAGGAAAGGAAAGGAAAGGAAAGGAAAGGAAAGGAAAGGAAAGGAAAGGAAAGGAAAGGAAGTATAATAAAAGAAAAGAGAGGAAAAGAGAAGAAAGGAAAAGAGAGGAAAAGAGAAGAAAGGAGAGGAGAGGAGAGGAGAGGAGAGGAGAGGAGAGGAGAGGAGAGGAGAGGAGAGGAGAGGAGAGGAGAAGAGAAGAGAAGAGAAGAGAAGAGAAGAGAAGAGAAGAGAAGAGAAGAGAAGAGAAGAGAAGAAAAGAAAAGAAAAGAAAAGAAAAGAAAAGAAAAGAAAAGAAAAGAAAAGAAAAGAAAAGAAAAGAAAAGAATTTATATTTATATATATAAAAAAAAAAGGAAAAAGAAGACATATTTCAACCCTTGTTGAAATGCCTGTAAAATTTCCCTGTGACACTGAGGGATCTAAGTCATGTCTCCAAAGAGTAGCTCATCATTTCTCAGACAACAGCAGGAATTTGTGGCTGACCTTCTGAGGGAAATGGTCAACTTTCTCCATCTTTCCTCTCTATGCCAATGTTTGGCTTTAATTTATTGGTCAGTTGAAAATGGAAAGTTCAGTACCAAAGCTAAACCGGGGGAAAATGCAACATGAGAAAGGACTTGTTTGTGGGATATATTTTCAAATAGACCATGGTTTTACACAGACTAGGTTTCCAAATTCCTCCCAGCTTGCTTATCACCCTGGCATAGCACAACCATGAGCGCTCAATCCAGATGGAGAAATGAAAGCCTTCAGTATCTGAGGTCAGTTGTCATTCCTGCTAACATTTTGCAAAGCGTTTTTTACAAGCTAGCAGTCCATCTCCATCTGGTAAGAAGCTCCACATCTCTTCTAACCACAGCTCTGTGTTTTCTTTCAAAATATCATAAACATATTGCATCAAGCAAGATATAAGCAATTTTCAGCTAGTCTGGTGCCCTGACTGTGACGTGCTTTTGTATCTGAGCCACAGCTCTTATAGGTTTGTCTGTGGTGTTGTTTAAATAGAACTCCAACATACCAGGTACATAACTCTGAAATGAAGCCAAGGAAAATACAATGCACTAAGAG